AAGCGAAGGGAGGAGTGTTGTGGCAGTTGGCGGGGCGGTGAGGGGATGCGGGACACCGAGGCTGGCCAATCAAAATGTCGCAATGGCGGATGTGGGAGCATTGAACAGGCGTTGGTAATGCAGCACCTCCACTGGCATGTGAATTATCATGTTATCGCCTCTCATAGGTAAACGAAAGTGTTGCCCTGGCTACATCCCATTCAATATCAACGTCAATAACTGAATGAGATACTTGTTAGAAGTAATGATGGATAAGATGAAATACATTAAGAAACTATGACATGATGTATTCAAATTCCCCACCATATTACACAATCTTCCGTCATGGACCATAAATACACAACTACCTCATGTTGGGCTGGTTGGTATCGTTTTTGTCACGTCTCGGTCACTACGACAGCCGCCTCTACGGTTACCGTCAATGCAACACAATCATGGCAAGGGTGCGGGTGGTGGGAAACTCATTCAACAATTAGAATTTATGTTGGCTAGCCAGGAAACAAACTACTAAAATGTACAAACTCTGTGTACATCCCTGTTCAAATATCGGAGGAATGGTACCTCTCACCAAATTGGTGAAAAGATTAGCTCACGTAATACTGATTTAGCAAGAACATAAACACAGAAGCAGGTGGTGACCAAGGCTTTAGAGTCGGCCATGTATCCAAAGTGGGTTGCTTGAATTAGCCCTAGCTCACTTCGACAGACCTATTCGGTTGTGCTTGATGGAAGCATTTAGTCAGAGATATGAAATAAATTAAGACAAAACCAAGGTTACAATTCCATCTGATAAATTAATGCAGTCAAAAATGCCTAGTGAAGTACACGAAACTACATTCGTGATGTTGAAATAAAGAACCAAAGGAAGCGAAAAAAAGGCGAGAAAATTTTAGAATCTCAACGTTTTGGTGGTAGTGTGGCACGTTAAAGCGGAGACGGGCAGCGGGTAACACGGACGCACATGGAAAAATCGATAACTGTATGGCCTGCCCTGTTTTCACGCACATCACAAGATAGCTATTCCAGAATGTTCTAACCAATCAGCTGAAAAAGAGAGGGCGTGTTATGGCAAATGGCAACCAATGAGATGGAAAGCTAAGCTCACCTACGCAAATGGATGGTAGGTATTTAAGCCAATGTGTGAGCCGTTGTCGGCATTCACCAACTTCGTTGCGCTTACTTACGTGTTGCGATGCAGATCTTCGTGAAGACTTTGACTGGCAAGACAATCACGCTGGAGGTTGAACCCAGCGACACAATTGAGAATGTGAAGGCGAAAATTCAGGACAAGGAGGGCATTCCACCAGACCAGCAACGTTTGATCTTCGCGGGGAAGCAGTTGGAAGATGGCCGTACCCTTTCCGACTACAACATTCAGAAGGAGTCGACTCTGCACCTTGTGCTTCGTCTT